TTTTTTTTTTTTTTTTTTTGTAGGTGTTATTTTTTTTTTTTTCTTTGTAATTATTCTCTATCTGATTTAATTAGAGAAAAAGATAATTTAAAATTTTTTTTTAGGTAAGAAATAAAAAAAATTGTAGAAATGATAAAATTTAAAAAAAAAAAAAAAAAAAATTTTAAATATAGAGAATACATCATAGTACAATGATTGTGCACCATAAATTATCATATTTTTTGGAAAAAAAAAAATATAGAAAAAAATTACACTAAAATTTTTTAATTTAACCTTTGTTGGTATAAGAAATATATTCATTTAAGGAAAAAATTTTTTTTTTTAAAGTATAAGACTTTTAATTATTATATAGTAAAAAAAAGAACATACTAATTATAGTGTAGATATAATGTGGGTTTTTTTTTTTTTTAAATATAAAACTATTTTAATTTTAATTTTTAATAAAATATATTTTCTTTTATATATATTCGTTTTTTACGTCATTATTATACTGAGTTACATGCTTCTTTCTAATATATTTTTTAATAATATTAAGTTGTTAACATGATAAAAAATAATTCAAAAATACAATATAGTATGCATTAGGTGTTGAAACTTTCTTAAAAACCTACAAACGTTTATATAATAATAAAATATGTGAAATATAAAAAAGTTAACATTTTTAACAAAATTTTTATTATAAATGATTTTTGTGGTTAATTTTTTAACAAATTAAAAAAACAGTTTACTTATTCTTAAATTTTAAACTGTTCTCAATAACACATTGATATTTTGTAAGAATTATAAGAAATATTGAATTTAAATTCATTATTTTCTTCTTTTTTTTTTTCTAATAATATTTTCTAATTTTTTTTTTTTTTTTTGTATCTCCATTTTTCCAATTTCTATTATTTTTTCTTTTTTAATTTTTTTTTTTTGTGTGGCTTAAAAAGAAAATTTTTTATGTACTTTACTCCCCTTCATCATATTTTAACATAGTGAAAAAAATTATATACATCTTTAAAGTATAAATTTTTTCAAATAATTATCTGAAGAAAGAATATTTTATTTTTTTATTTTTTTTAGTTTAAATTATTAAAAAAACTAAAAATTGTTTAAAATGACCATTTTCTAATTTAGCAAAAAATTCTTGTATACAGGCACTTGACTTATGCTTATATGATGCATATAAATTTTTTAAATGATTAATGGAAATCTGAAGGAAAAAAATTTTATTATATGCACTCATTTTTTTTTTATGTTTTAGAATGCATTATTTTCATTTCTCTAATTTTTTTATATACCTCGAATGATTGAACTTTTAATTCATTATTAGATGAAAACCAAAAAAAATTTAACTATTAAAAAAAAACAAAAGTATTTCATAAAAATAATATATTAAATAAATATATATGTAATAATTAATTTATTATATTAACAGATATTTAGGTTAATATCGTAAAATAAAATTAAAAAAAGAAGAACAATTAAATTATAATAGAAAACATTTAATATATATATATATATACAAAAGAATAAATCTGTTTATAAAAAAGTATGTATATGAATAAATAATAAAATTTAAAAAAAAAAAAAAATTACTATATCTTTTGATAATTCAAAAATTTTTGAATTTCCTGAAAATAAGTTGTTTATAATATGTTCAAAAATATTATTATATATTTCTAAAAGTCTTAATAAATCTTCATTTTCTGTAAAAAAAAAAAAAAAAAAAATATATATATATATATATATAGATATATAGATATACAAAAATATTATTAAATGTAGAATTCGAATTATAAATAATTAATAAAAATTTATAAATATTTTCTCCTATAATGAAGTGCATACTATTATATATAATATAATTTTTCAAAATTCTTAAAAATGATTCTTTTTTCCACTTTTCCTTAAATATACAATAAGAAAAAATAAATTAAAATTATTTTTTTATAAAAATAAATTAAAAAAAAAAAATAAAGAAATTACTTTTTTTAATAATGAATTAAGAATAGCGATATTATTTTTTTTATTTAAATTATTTAAATTTTTGTTGAAAATATTCGAGAAACTTTTCTTAATTATTTTATAATTGCAGATATTTTTAAATAGATCCTCAAAAACATTTCCATTAATAAAAATTTTATGTTCTTCATCACTTAATTCGCTGTATCTCTAATTATGTAAACATATTTTAATAATATATATATGCATATATATGTATTCTTTTTATTTTCTTTTTTCTTAAATTACTTTCAAACATATATCAAAAAAATTATCGTCGTTATTTATTAATTTATGGGAATATAAGAAAAATAAGTATATTAATTCCCTGCAAACATATATCAATGAAAAATAACATTAGTTATTTATGGAAATATTTTATTTTTATTATAACTATTTTTATATAACTTATTATTAGTATTTTTAAAAATGGTAGAACATATTTTTATCATCTGTTTAATTTCTGTGTTAAATTCACTTTCCTTCTGTAAATATACAATATAATATATATAAATAATTATATATATAAATAATTATATATATAAATAACTATATATATAAATAACTATATATATATATATATATATATTCATATTTTAGGATTTAAATGTAACCTTGATTTCTGTTATTTTAAAAATTATATTTGAACATATAGAAAATAAAAATATGTTATAATTTATATTATTTATTTCTAAAATATTATACAATAAACCTAAAATAAAAAAAACACAAAGTTAAATATATATTTGCGTATATATAAATATTTATAAAGATATTCGTATACTAGATAAAAGAATTATATCTTGGCAATGATCTAGTAAACTAAGAGTATTTAAAATATCTAAACTAAATAATCTAAAAATAAAAAAAAAAAAAAAAAAAAAGTTATAAATATATCATTCAAGTTACAAAAATAATTATCACATATGTAAAAAATTTCACAATGTAATTTACATAATATTTTTTCTATTTGTATGCAGCCCAACAAATATGTAATAAAGATAAATATCTTTAATGTCTTTTTTCTATTAGTAAAAAAAAAAGGAAAAAATTATCTTTAAAAAATAAAAACTTTTTATTCATAACAAACGTATTTTATCAAATATTTATTACATATATAAAAAAATTTAATGAACTATTTATAAGGGTTGACAAAAAAAGATAAAAGAAATTAAAAGACATCGTATTTTTAATCATGTTCAATATATTTATTAAAATATGCTTATCATTATTTATTATTAAAGTAATTAGTTCACAAAAACATTTAATATCTTTATTTTCATCATTGTCAATTATAAAAAGGCTCCTTAATATTATATTACAAAGAATCTATAAAAAAAAAGTTTAGTGTATAGTTACAATAAATTCGTTTCTATCTAATAATTTTTTCTTATCTAATATTATTAAAATATATATAAATAAAATAAAAGTAAATTAAGTAATACAATCTCAAAATACATAGTTGAATACAAAAAAAAAAAAAAAAAAAAAAAAAAAAAGT